TGCTCAAGTTACAGCTGCTCCACTTACAGCTCAGAGGATGGACAGGAAGATGAGGGAGGGAGGCCAATTAGGAAGCAGATAGATTCTCCAAAAGGACCAAAGACCAAGGAAGGTAGTTGATGATGGTGAGTAGGATTGGAGTCACAGGGAAGTTTTGGGGAAATGGCAGAAGTAGAGTTCTCAACTTGTTAACAGAAGAAATGGCCTGAAAAGGGGCAAAATATTTTACAAGCTATCTCTTTAAAACCCCCTCACTCTTTTTGGGAGTGCATCCCTGCCCAAGGCCAGTAATCAGAGGGGCAGGGGAGTGTCTTTGACCTTTGTACCACAGGAGACGGCTTGATGGAATTGTCTGGCTGGAGGACACGAGATTGTCTTCACTGGAGATGGGGTTGATCAGGACCATCAACTATATTAAACAACAAAAGCCTAAAGCTGAAAACTCTCTCTTTAGAAGCTCTATGTTTCTGCTTATAGGGAGGAAAATGGTACTTTAAGACAGGAGTCTGCCATTATCCTCATTTGCCGACAAATTAATAAACCTCCCTTTCCTTCTCCTAAAACCACTTGTCCTCATTCTTCTGATGCAGCCTTGGGGACAAGCACTGAACTTTCACTTTCAGTAATAGAATTTGGTGTCCCTGGGTGGGTCCATTGGCACCCTGGTGGAATGACACCCCAAGACTGCTGGAAGGGGCGGGGAGCAGCCCTGGGTCAAGTCATGGGTAGAAGCATCACCTTTTTAGGTAAGAAAGTAAGGGACTACCCCAGCAGCTCCCAGGGCCTGTTTTAGCTCTGGAGAACACCCATCTCTTTCTCCCCATATTAGACACAGCTCCGACCAACCTGAACTTTTTTTGAGAAAAAGGAAATGGGTTTGGGAAGTATCCAGACGCCTCAGCCATTTGTCTGAGTAAGTTCCAGCATGCATGCTGAGACCCTTGATTCCACCCATTTGGAGGAGGTTTTCAGACCTTCCTGTTGAATTTGTTTGGAGGCACCATTTGGGGGGGAAGTCACAAGGTTGAGTGGAACTAGGGAATCTGGTTTGGATTTGGAGCTCATTTGTATGATTCCCAGGGAACCTGGGGAATTCCTTCCCCTTTGGATTAGGAGATGTTGGCTCTCATTTGAGAATTTGGTTCTCATTTGGATGGTTCCCATTTGTTGGAAGGCCTTGGGATTATTATTTCATTGTTTGTGTTTGTTATTTGTGAGTTTTGTTTCAACATAGAAAAGCTCCATCTGAAAGCCCCTTGGGGAGAATCTTGGCTGAATGGCCAACTTACAGATGCAAGTCTATGTCTAAAAAGGAATGATGTTATTCTAATCCAGTGTGTGTGCTGGAGTGTGAGGAGAAGTGGCTGTTGAATGAAACCTTAAATTATTATACTACCTTACAACTAGAGTTATTTTGTCAGAGTTCATGTAAATGGGATGAAATCCCATATGTATAGTCTTTCATGCAATTGTATAATAAGGAGGTTGAAAGGCTGGGTGATAAAATTGGGGAGGGATTAACCAGGTTGGATCTCATGAACCCACTCTCCCGCTGCCAGCTCCCCACCTGCCGAGCAGGCACTGCGGGCTTGGCTGTGCTCAAGCTCACGCTGCTGCGGTCCCTGCTGCCCTGTCCGCCATGGGCCTTTGTGATGGCTTGTTTTAGTCCTCTGGTCTGCACCAGTTTTGGGTCAGTTGCTGGGCACTGGCTGAGGCGAGGTGCCACAGTGGAGGTGATCCATGGGAAGGCTCCATGGGCCCTGGGCTTGGCCACTCTCTAGCTTGTGCAGATGGGGCCCCTGCCAGAGCCCATTGGCCTGGAAAATGGGCCCCACATGGAGCCTGGCCCAGGACAACTGCCAACTACCACCATCCATCGCTGCCATCTCTGCAATGTGAGAGGGGTGGGGGGGCGTGTGCTACCGGAAATAATTCCTCAGTCCCACACACACTAGATTATGACTTGGGGTTAAGAATGGTCCCTCCTTCTAAGACCCAGCAGGGAACTGAATTTGACCAGAGGGCACCCATAGCGGGGGCAGGGCAATTTATGCCAATATCAGATGAGGGCTTGGATGTGCAAGAACGATCGGCAAGGTCCTTTGCCACAGTCAAAAGGAAAGGGTGGAAAAAGGCACTCCAGGTGTACAGTAAAGAACATTGCCCCCAAATTGCAAAGGGCTCCAGGTAACAAGAAATCCCAGGAGAGCAAATGGTTTTTTCAGGTCCAGGACTCAGATGACAGAGGAGGGGGCCCAGGGACCCCTGCCTCACTAGTGGCTCCAATCCAAATGTGCCCACAGGAGCCCTAGCGATGAGCCAGGCAGGGGATGGTGGGGGAAGCATGGGGGAGGGTCCAGGCAGTGGTGAGACTGAGGAACTCACTGACAAGTGACTATGAATGGTACTAGTTACATTTGAATGGCGGGATCCTGAGACTAGAGTGGCCTTAGTTGGAGAGATGGCTTTGAGGCAGCTTCTCCTGTTCTCCCAGCAAGTCATCTGTCATATTAAACAATTCCTTTCTTCCTTGGCAATCCTCATTGTCTCAACAATAGGATCTTTGTGTGATGAGCAACTGGACCCAAGTCAAAACTTCCATACAATTTTGACAACAGTCTCACTCTGTCACTCAGACAATGGTGACATCATAGCTCACTGCAGCCTCGAACTCCTGGCTTCGAGTGATCCCCAGTGGTCCCAACTACTTGGGAGGCTGAGGCAGAAGGATAACTTGAGGCCAGGACTTCGCTTGAGGCCAGGAGTTCAAGGATGCAGTGAGCTGTGGTTGGGCCACTACACTTCAGCCTGGGCAATAGAGAAGACCTTGTCTCTAAAAAAAAAAAAAAGAAAGAAAGAAAGAACAGAAGAAAGAGTGAACCCTAGTGTAAACAATGGACTTTGAGTAATAATGATGTGTCAATGTAGGTTCATCAATTGTAACAAAGGTACCACTCTGTGTGTGTGTGTGGGGGGTGTTGATAATGGGGGAGGCTGTGCAATGTGGGGGCAAGGTGTATGTGGGAAGTGTCTACACCTTTCTCTCAATTTTGCTATATATCTTTCTAGCATTTTAAAGCCCAATTCTGAAAATCCTATCAATTTCTTGCCACCAGTAGTGATTTCTGTTCTTGACTTACCACTCAGAGTAGTACTGATGAAAACATCTGTTAATATTTTATCAGCCAGAGGACATGAACGTATCTAAAAGAGCACGTTTTCCCCCTGAGGGCCACCAACCCATAAAGTGCAGCTCAAAAAGCTGAGTGTGCACAGCATTATTAGGGCATGTTTCTAAGTAGATACCAAAATGTCCACAGAGGTTTTTTAGAGTACTAAAGGCAGCTAAAGGTTCTATTTTTTGATTTTTATTTTTTTATAGACATTTTTCATTCATTCTAAGAAAATGTATGTTTTTAAAGGAAAGGTATTCCTTAGTCTACCCATTCTAGAGAATACTAACCTCCACAGAAAGGAAGTTTTCCACATTTTAAAACTTATTGTGTATAGCACGTATAGTCCATTTACACTCTGCAAATAAAAAGCACAAAAGTGTTTACAGTGAAAAGTAGGTCTCCCTTCAGCCCCTGCCTCCCAATCACCCTGTTACCCTCCCAGGAGGCAACCACTGCCCCCAGCTATATATCACTCAGAGAGATTCTATTTATATAAGCAAATACCTACTTTAAAAAAATAAATATAAATAGGTGAAATGGCTCAAGTCTGCAATCCCAGGGCTTTGGGAGCCCAAGGTGGGAGGATCCCTTGAGGCCAAGAGTTCGAGAATAGCCTGAAAAAACATGGCAAGACCCTGGCTCTACAAAAAATTTAAAAATTAGCCAAATGTGGTGCACATGCCTGTGGTCCCAGCTACTCAGGAGGCTGAGGCAGGAGGATCTCTTGAGCCCAGGAATTCAGGCAGCAGTGAGCTGTGACCATGCCACTGCACTCCAGCCTGGGTGACAGAGTGAGACCCCATCTCTAAAAAAAAAAATAAGACAAAAAAATAGTAGCATATTATATCATATGCTGTTCTGGACTTTTATACTTAACATATCTTGGGGATCCTTCCATAGCTGTGGAAAAAGAGTTGCCTCATTCTTTTTCAAAGGAAGTTTAATATAAAGGGTGTTATAGTTGAGAAATTATATATAATTTATTTTTGCCAATTCAAGAGCAGAAATGTAAATTAATCCTTAGTTTTCTGGACTTTAATATCAGATAGTCCAAAGCTTTGACATTATTCTTTCCCCGTGGCTCTGTTTTCATCACTAAGATGAAAACACTTTCCCCACTCTTATGCCCCTGCAACCTCCATCAGAGATAGCTTAGTCATCTGATCTCACTTTTGATGAGTCAAATCTAAATAAACCCAGAGGATGTGGCTAAGATGCCCCTTAAGCCCCAAAAGCTAGAAGATAAAATATAAAGAAATGTGTAGGACCAAGGGCTGAGAGTTTGCTGAATATCTGAGATTTGAATATGTGTGTGGGCGTGTGTCTTAATTCCTCTTCAATTACAGCTATTAATACATTCTTCTCTCCCTAGCCTTGCACCTGGAGAGTATCGGCTCCTAATACAAGCCGAGCGCACATCTCTGGACTGTTCTAAGAAGTCATATTCCCTTAGATCATTGCAGTTCACAAGGAGAAAGCACTCACTCAGATATTTTTCAAATACTGTTTCTGCTCCCCACTCTCTTCTTCTCTTGAGGTAAGCAAGGCAGGCACATTTGCCAAGGATAACCGAGAACGTAAGGGCAATCCTTGCCTGGGCAGCTTGTGCATGCTGTGTGCTAAATGCAACTCTGAAACATGCCCTATAAATAGCCGTTCATTGTCAGCGTGTGAGAAAAGACAAGAGAGTGTGCCGTGGTATGATTCAGGCCTAATTAAGTGGTTGCGTCTGGGGAGGGCTATAAACGAGTCGCTGCTCCTACTGGCAACCCAGTCGGCAGGCAATTGCAAAGGCTCGCCACTGCCTGCGGGTGCTCGGAGGGAGGCTGTCCAATGCTGCTTCTGCCTCCACCATGGCAAAAATCATCCTGAGGCACCTCATAGAGACTCCAGTGCGTTACCAGGAGGAGTTTGAAGCTCGAGGTCTGGAAGACTGCAGGCTGGATCATGCTTTATATGCCCTGCCCGGGCCAACCATCACCGACCTGAGTAAGGCCAGGGCGGCGCAGCCTCCTGCAGCGGACGCGGAGGCACAGATGCTGCCCCGGGAAGACAAATCCCGCTTTCAAATCCTGCTGGATGTGGTCCAGTTCCTCCCCGAAGACATCATCATTCAGACCTTCGAGGGCTGGCTGCTCATAAAGGCACAGCACGGAACCAGAATGGACGAGCACGGTTTTGTCTCACGAAGCTTCACCCGACAGTACAGACTGCCGGAGGGCGTGGAGACCAAAGACTTGTCCGCGATCCTCTGTCACGATGGAATTCTGGTGGTGGAGGTAAAGGGTACAGCCAGGGCTCAGTGAAGCCTTATCGGTTCCTGTTCACAAGACACTGAGATTCTTATAGTTCAGTCCATCGTAGCACGGGAATGACTGTATGACCCACGTCTGAAATGATTCGCTATGGCTTTTATGAAGATTAAAAATATATGCACAGTTCCTGGTATGTTGAGGTTGTCTTTATTATTTCTTACTCAGAAAGGAAAATTGTTAAATAGGTTTGTGCAGCTCAAACTGATACTGTGCTTACAGCTGAAACATTGGAAATTTAGGAGACTGCAGTTTGATATCAGAGAGGACGGGGGCTTATTTCTTCCTTACTCCAGCACCACCAGAGAGGCTGCGTTGGTGCTCCTCGATGGCAAAAGAGCCAAACTCGTTTAAAGAATTCGTATCCATTTTATGAAAATATTTTATATTGCTAAAAAGAGTTGTGATTCCCTTCACTTGATAAGCTTTTCTTTTCAGTGCATTTTGATTAAAGTGGTGCTTTGTAAATATGGGGCCTGGAAATTAAAGTATAATTCTTGCAAATTGGGTCTGAAATCTATTTCTGATTCACTATAATAACCTGTTTTAAACTGTAGTTGGAATTTTCAGATGTAAATCTTATTTTTAAAAAGTTCAAATATATACCTCATTCATCTTTTTTTAAGCTTAACTGAATCCTATCTGAAGTGTTTATTTAAAAAGATAGTGTAAGTTCCATAGATACTTACAAAATATTATTAAAATACATATTAACATATCCCCTTATAAACTAACATTAAGTTTAGGAAACCGCTTTAAAAAGTTTGATTACTAAGTTCAGTGAGTTTTAATCTGTGCCATTTAGATGTTCCTTAAAATTGTAGATTTCAGAAGATGGAAAATGCATCTGCTATCGCTGCATAATCCTTAGCTTTAAATAGCCGTGCAACAGTGGAAGCTACGACACCTGAGCTTACACTGCTGTCTGAGTTTACACAGCACGTCTGATGATTGGTGCTTGTTACAGCCTCCCAAACTGCTGCTTTGGCTCAAGGTTGAGACGTTGGTAGATATTAAGAATTTGCTTTAAGAATATTGCCTTCAACAGCTGGTCTGTGACATTCCAAAGATTTGATATCTCATTCTGAATGCACTAAATATTTCCCTGGAGGAAGTAACTGCCTTCCTTTTGCCCCCACACTGAATGCGAGCTGACGATGAGCCCTAGGACAGTGCTAAGAATAGAAAAGGAACGCTGGGTGTGGAAAGCACCAGGGTAAATGCAGACTGCTGACAATATCACTGAGCACCTCCGTGTTGCTTTATTTGTAGCTCAAGTTAAAATGTAAAAGACGTGAAGCCATAGAAAGAGACATCAAACAGTTCCAAAAGTAATTTTGAAAACAAATATAATCTGAAAGGGATATTTGTTTACAATTAATTTTGAAGTTGTATGCCTGTATGAGGTTAACACCTATACACAGATTTGTGCATCCAACTCTGGGACGTGAAATTTTGTTTGACAAAGTGAATGTCACAGATACGCCTGGCTCATGACAAAGTTAATAGTAATCAATGGGATTCCAGATCTACTAATAAAATTAGAACTGGAATACCATTTGTTCCACATTGGATTATTATTCTTTCCTATTGGTTGACAGAATAGTGTGAAAACTAGTGCTGTGAAAAACACACACACACAGAAAAAACCCAGACTTGGCCTTGATCTTAGTCTAGATGAGATCTTGCTTCTGGGAAAATTCAGGAGGTGAAATTCCTGCCATAAGGAGCCACTGATAGGAAATGTTTCCTTTAAAAATGAAAATTAAAATAGAAACTTCTCCAATTAGCATTTATTTTTTTCTAAGATAAATTTTAAAGTCATACATAGCAATTTTCTTGATTTGAAAAGTATACCAAACACTGTAAAAATACAAAACATTTACTATTCTTCTGCTACCTGAGGTAGCTATCTAGATCAGTCCTCTCGTACATAAATACATGTGTTACTTTTCACAAAATTAGGATTACATCTTCATGGACTTTGATATCCTGACCATACTGGTTATTGTCTGTTGCCCTCCCCACTCCCACCAACTCAAACCCATTCCCTGCCCTTCTCAGCGCCACTTTGAGTCCAAGAGGGCTGACCCCATGGGCCACATGATTCTAGTTTCCAGGTGGGTTCAGCCAGGAGGAGGCACCAACAGGAGACCAGAGATTACAGAGAGATTAGTGGGCAGGAGGGGAGAAAGGTCAGAGCATTTCTTCCCTCAGCCCCAACCTGCTGCAGACTGAGGCTCTGTCACGGCCCACGTCCTTCTGTGATGGGACCCGTCCAGGGCTCCCAGTCTTAGAGGGCTCAGGCGTGTACCGCTGTTCATTCCTTTTGTTCATTCAGTAGGAGGCATGAGTTTCTGCTCTTTCTTGTACCTGCTGCATCACTGTCCCTTATTGGTTCCCTTTACTTTGCCCTCTCTCTCCCAAATGGTCCCTGCATTAAAGCCCCTTGCGGCAATGGAATTCTATTTTCTGCCAGAACCCTGATTGTTTGATTGTTTAAGTGATTAAAAAAAAAAAAATTAGTGCATCACTTTCTTTTGCTACCAAACGTGAACTGATTTGTAATGGCTATTAACTATTCCAACACAGATAAATCATATTATCATTTAGCCACTCCTTTGCACTCTTGGTCCTAACAGGAAACAGATGGCACTCTCAAATTAGAATAATTCAACAAGGGTTTATTTATAAAGAGACTAATTACAAAGAAGTGGGCAGGGTGTGGAGGCACTGCAAAGGAAAGTGCAGTAATCTGAGGGTGGCAGAGTGGGGCTATGTCCCCGAGGTCCAAAGGGATGGGAGGAGGAAGCAGTTCTCAGAACGTGGGATGGCGGAGACTGCCAGCTGTGACTTTCATTTGAGGGCTACAACCAGCCCAAGGTCACCTCTCACAGGAGGGAGCCAGGAGAACAAATACTTTCTCCCTCCAATCTCTTAGCAGGGTCCCCCATTGGCTGGATGTAGCTTGTGGCCAGAGGGTGCGGAGCCCTGTTGATGTAGTCCAGCAGCCTCCCATGGCAGCAGGCAGTGGGGAGAAGAGTGGGGGGTGACCTCCGAGGGGAAAGGGGAAATGTTCAGCATGCCGATCAAATGAGTCCTCTTGTCAGAGCTCCATCCAAACATCTTTTCTGCAAAGTAGAGCCTGAGACAAGGATTGAAGAGCTGACGCTTCATTTGGGAAATGCAAGCCCAGATGGTAAATTGAGGAAATAGGGGAAAGGAGGCAAGAAAAAAATGGGCAGCAGCATGGTGCGAAAATGGGACATGTCACCATGTGGGTTGCCACCGCACCATGAGCTATGAAGAGGCTCGGCTGGTGTCTCGGCAGGGATGTTGGCTTAGCACACGGAACTTGCTCCTTGGGGAAGTTCTCTTTAGGGAGAAAACAAATCTTAAAGCAGTCCCCAGGGGAATGAAGGAAACAGAATTTGCTTGCCCTGTTCCCTACTATATCCCATTTCCCATTAGTCGAGGTTCAGCTCACAGAGAATAGACTCTTCCTGCACTTGTGGGATGTATCATCCAATCCCCTGGTGGCTGCTCAGGAAACCAGAACTTCATGGTGTGACATTTCATCCAAGCTGGGAGCAGAAGGATGACTCAGCAGGGTGGGGCTCAGGGCGGGGAGTGCAGGCTCAGGGCTTCAACCTGGACTCCTGCCGCCTTGGAAAGCTTGGCGAAGAGGCTGGCAAAGGTGGCAGCAGCACGCTCTGGAAGGCAGGCAATACCTTCAGAAACAAGGTGGCTGGCGAGAAGGTACACAGGGTTTGTATCCAATCTAACCTCAAACGTAGAACTGCAGGAAAGGAATGCTAGGCAAATCAGACAGTCTTATAGCATCTGCTGCCTCTGCACCCTACACTGCCTTCCAATTGGATGGGCCTTAACGTCACCTTATAATTTGATCTAATTTTTAAATCTGCTTAGGTGCAAAGTCAGCCCTCTTAAACTTCTCCAGGATTTTTCTTTTCCTGTACATTGTGGACTAAAGTTGTTTGTTTGTTTGTTTATTATTTAAAGTTGTCTTCCCAGAAGTCCAGAAGTCAATGAAGATTTTGAAGACCTGGGTTCCCGTTGACCTCCCTGAGTCCAGACTGCACAGAGGTCCCCAACCCGTCGACCTATTTTTCACCTGCTTGCCCTCTAAGGTAGAGGCAAAGCACTGGAGATCTTATGGAAGGGAAAACAAATTAAAATGAAACAAAAGCAAAAGAAAAGAAGCAACATGCTTCCCAGCTAGCTCTCCTGGTCACCCTTTCTACCATCACAGCGTAGTGAGATGCAGCATAGTGAGAAGTGCCTTGTTGCGACATAAGATAAATCCTGGAAGATGTCCGGCCGGGCAAAGATCTGCCAGCCTCAGTGCACTGACTGCATTTGGCAATTACACGCACTTACCAGGCACACGGGCCCTTCTCAAAGAGCTGCCTTGAAGTTCCTTTCTGCCTGGTGTCTCCTGCTTGCCCACTGTATGCATTTATATCTGGACTATGTCTTTCAGCATTTTCTGCCACCGGGAAGACAGTGCAGTGTTATGAAAGAGTAAGAACTTTAACTGGAGTTCCGCAGATACCACAAACACTGCATTAACACAATTCTATTCAATTTTATACTTATCATACAACTAAAATCAATAAAAATGTATTAAGGTGTTACTTCACAATAGGACGTCACTCAGCAAATAATTACAAAACGCACCTTAGCTGTGACCCTTTGTGAGGAGCGGATGAGACTCTGAATATGAGGAAGGGAAATGGCCAAGATCAGGGATTTGGACGCTTTCTTTCTTAACTGTTGGTTCTTCTAAGCTTTTGCTATAGGCAGAGCCTCTTGTCCCTGGACTGGATTATTGTAAGTATACAGTTATCACTGTTTAAAATGCTCTATGGATGGGGGTGGGGTCTGCAGCATCGTCTATTGAAGCCATATGCATAAAAATATGTGATGGGATCATGTATGGTCAGTCTGTAACTGGCCCCCATTGAACACATTTCAGTGACCCTTATATGATTCTCTTCCTTAACTAACTACTT